ATATACACACATACAAAGATGTAATGTATTTTAATTTGGATATAATGAAAATATGCATGAAAAATAATGCACATACTTATTTCTACATATGCCTTCTTATATATTCTTTTTCATTTCACATCTGTATTATATCTGTTATTCTGAGACTTAAATATTTCTGTATTACCACTAATCCAAATTTGAATATCCAAATATTCAGTTAGCAAAACCAATTGACATCCTGTTTATTAACAGAATTTCATCTTCAAAGTCAAAAAGTGGTAAACATATGGATACCTTGTCTTGGAATTCAGCTCATGGTTGACCAAAGAATAGCATGATTAAAAAATGTATTTACTCCTAAAAATAAGGATTGTTGTCTCAAGGTAAAGTATGAAAACTAGCAATTTAAAGTCTATTCAATTGACTTAACTATAACTTTCTACAATGACCATGTTTTTTAAAGTTTACCAATGAATGAAAATGACACATTTAGAATTAAGGAAACCAGCAACTATCAGTCAATAAACTTGTAAAAATCCAAAAATCTAACACAGTTCTACCAAAGTAACCATTATTCCACAAAAATCTCATAAATTTGTCTCTGACAGCAACTTCTGAATGTCACACTTTCTGTCATTTTATATTCAAATAAAAGTGTAAAAGAAAAGAGGTTAGAATTTTATAGTTCTTCTTTAATGAACCAGAAGAAAACTGTTACAAGCCTGTGATTCTAGAAATGCCAAGGCACCTGTGCCCATCATATTCAGTAGAACAATCTCCAAAAGCAAGATTCCCTGAAATCATGTTTCATGTTAGGCCAAATGAATAGCATTATTATTTTGTTAAGTCTACCATTCCATTTGTGTTGTTCGGGCACTCTCATCTAAGTTCCCTCTATAGCGGAAACTAGAAAAGTCATCTGCTGTAATCCAGAATTTACTATGGAGATAAGTGAAAATGCTATGAAGAGAGTTAAATTTGGTGGGTGAGGAGGAAGGACATACACACCAAGCGTAATCCCATTGGGCCACTGGATATCGGCTGTCACCAGCGGACGTCGGTCAAATCCATTCATTCCTGCTTTTTCTATCTTAGCTGGTTCTCCCCAATCTGACCAGTAAACAAAGCTGGGAAGAGGGAGATCAGAATTATGTCTCAGTAGTGAGAAGGAATATAGTGGTATCTTGAAACAAAAGAAATAGAAAACTCTGGGGATTGATTCTTTAGAGACAAATAGTGAGACTTAAGGATTTAATTTATATTCTGGGTAAATCAAATTTCACCCTAAGAATCTACAAGCTCATTAGTAACTGTGGTAATCGGTATCACTCTGACATTTGAGTTTCAGTCCAAAGTCAAGGCTATGTATTTCCTTTTAAAACACTGAATTATCTCAGAGGAGTAAAAGAATACCCTTAAGTTTTATAGTAGGGGCTGGCTGATTATGTTCTAATGATACTTAGTAAGGAGTAATTGTGATTACTTTAGTTAACTTCCTAAGCTACCTGTCTATGTGACTTAGTGGCAACTTAAGGAAACCCCTCAGCAATATGTTTCTAGAGAGGCATTTGTTTCAATTGAACTTTTAAACAACTTGCACTTTGGAAGCCTTCAGGGACTATGGTTTAAAATCCCAGCATTTCATGCTAGTATTTAAGTTCAATAACTTAGAACTAACCCAGCAAAGTTTTCAGACAATGATGATGATGATGATGAGGAGGAGGAGGAGGAGGAGGAGGAGTACAGAAGCTGGGGGGGCATAAGGTTTAAGTCAGAGCTTGTTCTGTAGTCAAAACCAGAAGTACAGTTCCCCTAAGGCCACCCAACAGTCACATGTACAGGAGCCAGAAAGAAAGGACGTGCCATATAGAGGGGCCATCCCAAGGTTGCTCCACCGTGGCACCTCGGACACCTTGAACTGGAAAATTCTTTGTTTCTGATTAATCTTGGGATGTATGAGGAAAGTTCCTGATCTAAGCAGATAGCATCCAAAAGACTGACAATGGCAAACATAGAATACGAACCCAGACAATGGGTCGACGGCTATGGAGGCAGGTTCTCGTAAGTCGGAGTTAAACAGGAACTTCCTCTTGGTTCCGTCTAGGGTAGCTACTGAAATAGTCTTAGAAGCCGCATCAGTCCAGTAGATGGTCTTGTACACCCAATCAACAGCAATGGCTGCAGGATTATAGACATTGTCGATCATTTTAACATGTCTACCAACCTTGTCATCAATTGAGGCACTGAAACAGAATAGGTCACAAGAAATTTAAGAGTTTGACACCATTAGAGCCTGGAGAATGGGCTTTCTGCTTATAAAATGGTCAAGGACTTTATTCAGAAAGAACTCTAGTAACACCATAGCTTACCATTCAAATTATTCAACCATGCTTCTCACTCATGCTAAATTAGTAACATTGTAGGTTTATCTAGTTACTGATACATATTCTATATATGTGCAAAAGTTCTAAGTGAAGCTATTTGTTTCAGTAGCCATCATCTGAGTTTCTAAGTTCCCACTAAGAATCCCATTAAGAAAAGGCTGCTATATCATTTCTATTTATAGTAACAGTGAACTCAGTGAACTGAGTTCTCAATGAACCATAGAGAAAGGAGAGAAAATATGAGAAATTAAGATGTCATCTGCTACAGTTTCACAGCTTTAGCCACCTTTTACCTTACAACGATTAGTTTCTAATTAAGAATGGACAATAATTTAATAGCTAAAGAATCAGTGTTAGATTTAATACTCCCAGATAATTAGATGCTAGATTGGAGCTAGAGATGAGAGAAACCCCTCCAAACCTTCCCACAGGCCAAGTGACAGTGACTTATGCCAAAAGCCCAGGAACAGAACTGAAAGTTACCTGAAGATGGCCTTTTGGCTGAGATCAGCCCAGAACAGTTTCTGAGCAGCAATGTCAGCATCAAGAGCTACAGTATTTCTTAGCTGTTCAACAAGTTGGATATATTCTTTTCTCTCCAAGCCAATCTTCCTGATGTCTCTTCTATTAGTGAAGATCAGACTTGGTTCTTTGCCTGAAAGATACAAGTCAGGTGGACTAAATTTTGCTGTAAGATGACAAGGTCTTTCTAATTCACCTCCTCCCAGCAGAGGAGCAATTGCAAAGCAACTGTAATACTGAACACCTAGGTAGCCCCTGGTCCAAAGTTCCTGCCCTGGGGACCTGCTGGTGCTTCCTACTGTTTCGGAAGGCGGTCTAGGGTTTAGCATTCCACACAAGGTGGCTGACGAAAGGTTACTTATTTGAATTGCACTTAGTTTCAGAAGCAGAAAGTAAGCAAATATGGTAAGAATTCATGATGCCATATGCAAAAGGAATGACCAAGGCAGACGTGTGAGGAGATGGTCTGCTATGTAACCTAGCCTACTGCACTAGGAGTTTAGTAGCATTGCTCTCCAGTACTATTCAGTTTTGTATTTGGTGTGACTGTTGCAGCCACTGGTTGTACCTTTTATAAGCACTTACTTATAAAGGTACCAGAGCAACACCAGTCCAAGTCCATTTACCTACTGCCTTGCACACGCCAGTGGCAAGATCCATTTGATAGCCACGACTACATTCACACTTGTAACCGCCTTTTAGGTTGATACAAATTTGACTGCAGATTCCCGGATTTTGGCATTCATCAATATCTAGGAGGGAAATTAGAATTAGTCTTGCTGTTCCTATGCCTTGCTAGATGTATTCTGCCCTTTCCCATCTCCCCGGGGGACTAGAATCTCTTCTTCAACTCACCTCCACAGGTTTTCCTATCTATCAGTTCAAACCCAGCTGCACAGTCACATTCGTAGCCTATAACTAGGTCTTTGCAGATATGGGAACATCCACCATTATTTACCAAGCATTCATTGACATCTGAAATAAAAATGTAGCAAAGTCACTTGACAACTTATTCTCAATTGATATTTACCCTACTCACTTAAAATTCAGGCTTTGTGATAACTGTTTAGTTGGCTTCACCAGACTCATGATTTTTCTAAGATTTAATTATTTGTTTTATAGTTATGCATCTTAGGGTGGATAGAGGGAAATGGCAACCCAATATCCCTGGCAAGTTATCAGTTAAATAGTATTTAGTCAAGTTTCTCTATTGCCCATCAATTATCCTTTTTTTGGGGGGGGTATTGGGGATTGAAACCAAGGGCACTTAACCACTGAGGCACATCCCCAGCCCTTTCCCCTTTCTATTTAGTTTTACTGTGAGACAGGGTCTCATTAAGTTGCTTAGGGTTTTGCTAAGTTACTTAATCTGGCTTTGAACTCATGATCCTCCTGCCTAGGCCTCTGAAGCACTGGGATTACAGGTGTGTGCCACTGTGCCTGCCCAGTTATTTTTAAGGGGGCTAAACTACAAATTTGTCTGTCACTGCCTGGATTTTCAAATCATAAAACTTAACCCTCAAGCCTAACAGTTCAATTAAATTATAGTTCATTAAAAGTTTAACCAGTCATCATGCAGGATCCAAACAGCATTAGCACTATGGATTGAATCAAACTGCCCACTCTGTCCTTGAGCAACCCCTTCACTTACGACATTCTTTCAGGGGCTCATCACTCCAGTCTCTGCAGTCCTGCTCCTGGTTACACACTTTGCTGATGTCTATACATTCCCCACTTCTGCACTTGAATTTTCCAGGGCCCAAGCACTGATTGACTACAACAAGAAACAGAAGAGAGGTTCCATTAGTGGATCTAAGCTAAGCAATCCCTTGCCTAACCAACCCCCCAAAACCCTTACCATTTTTGCAGTTGACTTCATCAGAACCATCAACACAGTCTCGGATGCCATTACACTGCCTGCTGCCATGGATACAGCTGCCATCCTCACATTCAAATTGGTCAGGTCTGCAGGTTCGAGAAGCTACAAAAGGAGGAAACACAAAGGAATGAAGCTGGTCAAACTATCCCCAGTTGATATATGGAAGAAAACTGACCATGCCTTGCAGATAAGAAAGCTACTTACGACAGTTGACCTCATCACTACCATCTTTGCAGTCGGGGTCCCCATCACATCGCCATTTCTTGTGGATGCACTCGCCAGAGCCACATTGGATCTCGCTGGCCGGGCACTTGGTGTGTATAACAGGCTGGCGGCCACACTGCTCAAGGGACTCATCTGACTGGTCCGAACAGTCTGCATCATCATCACATACCCAGCTAATGGGGATGCAGGAGGAGGTGCTGCACTGGAACTCATGGGCACCGCAGGTAGGTGGGGCACAGTCCAGCTCATCGCTGCCATCATTACAGTCATCCTGGCCATTGCACACAAAGTTCCTGGAGATGCAGCGACCACTGGAGCAAGTGAACTCATCTGGGCTACATGTTATGTTGCCTAATAAGAGAGGAGATGCCCCATTGAAAGCACTTCAGCATTGCTCTTTTGACAAGACTCTTATCCAAAAAAGCAACTATATTGATTTTTGATCATTAATTTTAGCTTCCAAGCTTAGCTTAAAAGCTATAGCTGAGTTATATTAAGAATAAGTTCTTAAAGTTTGAAGAAACAGTCTCACCATGTTAAAAAAAAGTATTCAGGCATACTATGAATAAGTTAAGAACAGAAATAAAGGACCAAGAAAATAGTTGAAGACTAGAAATTATTTTTGACATGAGAACCACAATTGACTCTTAGTGGGACAGGGATCAAAAATTTAAACTGTTGTAAGAGATTTCATTTTGGAAGGCAGAGATTAAATTACACCTAAATTAAATTATAATGCATGTCAGGGCCAGGTTACACAGCATGCATTATGCAAACAGGTAACACAATACAGTAAGCATTAAGACATTATCACCAAAAAGAAGTAAGCCATACACCACTATACATTGTTTCTTCTTCTTCTTCTTTTTTTTTTTTTTTGGTCCTTTAAATGAGGATCAACAATAACAAAGCTTAAACACTTTCAATTTTTAAAAGTCATTGCTATGGCTAGAAACACAATCTGGCAACAAGGTATGCTAATAATGATAAGCTAATCATATTAGCCAGTTTGTACTTTGACTTAAAATTCCTGCCAAACAGATAAAGGTCACAATTTGGTGGTGATTGGAATGGAGACCACGACTCTCTTGGGAAGCAATGTCTCAATTTGTGAGGGAAACACTTGGCAGCTCCAGGGCTTACCAGTGTATAAAGCTCTGAATTCTAGGATTGAACACTAAAACTCATTGGACTAGGTGCAGTGGCATTGACCTCAGGAGGTGACTTCTCCATGCAGGTCTGGCATTTCAACTGCCAGGGCCTGTATACTCCCTGGTCTAGTACTGCATCGGTAGGCCACACTCATCAGACTCAGGAGCTGTAGGTCTTAGAGGCCATATAAAAAGGGCGGTAGGTTGAAAGAACACTCAAAGCAATGTTTGTTCAACCTAGAGATTTTCCCAGGGCCTCACCTGTAACATGTAGTATTTTATAGATTTTCCAAGAACTGAAACATGAAAGAATAGGAAAAAGAGATAGCTTTCAGAGATAGGAACTGTGACAGGAGATAAGGATTGGGTGGAATTTTCTTCAGGAATTTCCTAGCAACAATGTTAATTTATGCCTCTCTGCCACTTTAACTTTGGGAAAAATTGTAACAGAATCTAGCCTGGGGATAAAAAATGCTTGTATAATACTCAAGGAATTTTTTTTTAATTCCAATAAGCCAATCTAGTTAAGACCTATGAATGTGTTTGCTGACCCTACTCACCTTACAATTTTATTGAGCCAAAGTGAGGAAGGTCTATGAATTACTATAACAGAGCCAAAAGCTCACACGATTGCTGCTTCCCTGAGCTACTGCTACATATAAATGCCCTATTACCTTCTTATTTCTATTTTCCTAAAAGAAATACCACACAATAGCTAGTTACCATGAGAATGGCTTTCAGAATTTTAGGGCAGTTATGAAGGACAAGGATTGAGCAGATAGTGAAGTCACTGAAAAGTGAGTCAATGTAAGTCTTCATGCTTAATTTCACTTCCCTTGCCCACCCTTCTTTGAGGAAAAGGGTCTTTGGGATATGCCACTGCACACTGATCTTCTTACCACAGTTTTCTTCATCTTCTCCACTGTCACAATCATTTTCACCATCACATCTCCAGGACACTGGGATACACTGAGTAGAACGGGCGCCACAGCTGATTTCATTTATGCGGCATGTTCTCATATCTGTTGATGATATACAGTCTCAAAAGAGCCTCAAAACTGATCAGTGCAAAGCTGCTGCTCCTGCACTGCCTGGAAGTGTAACACCTGTACCTTGGTGGCCTGGCACACTGGGCAGATCCTTCGCCAGCTCTATTCCTTAGAAGCCGTGCCAACCAATGCCACCTGGCAGTGCACCTGAGAACCTTGACCATGTCACTCCTTCAAGGCTCCATGGTGTACTCAATTCTGGATTTTGTTTTACTTGGCATGGTTAGGTTGATTGGCTGGCCTGTTCCTAGGCCATATTTATCTCCTGGATATGAAGTGGGCATACAGATACTGTCACCTAACCCCACTTCATCAAAGGCCAGATGGGCTAATACCTATGAAACCGTCCATGGCCTAGGCTCCCTGATAAGCCTCCATCACAGTATCCATTGGATCTACATCTTGCAAAGTAGGAATAAGCCCTAATTCTTGACTTTACCAGGTTGTCCTTCACTAACATTTGAGGCTGAATCTTTGTAAAGCCTGTCTTGAACTCATCTGCTTTAACTAATATCATAATCATTCTCCTCGCTTCATGCCTAAAAAATTGTGAGTCTCAGCATAAGTTGTTTTTTTTTTCCCCCATCATCATATTCTGGACCTAAATTTTGTTCATGTTGATCCTTCCTTTTTCTGTGTCTGCAGATCTCTGCCTTACATGAATTCTAAGACTTTCTTTACCTTGACATTCAAACGATGCCAATTATATGATCACAAACCATCATCCTCTATGGTCTTAGACTTTCCCCTGAATATCAGCCTACAGACAAAGATGTACATTTGCATGTCTATGATGTTTCTTTAAGAACAAGCTATAAGGTCCCTGCTTAGCAACTACAAGTGACAAGTTTGTTAAAAGTCATGAAATCACCAGATTGCTAGTCACCTTGCCCCTTCAGTAACAGCTTTTCTTTCATAATATGAAAAGCTGTGCATCTAAAAGCTTGGCCCACAGGGAACCCTCACGTCTTGACTTAGCTTCCAGGACCAAAGTACCATCTGCTCAGAGTCATTATTATCAAGCATTTGAAAATCTATGCACCTAGTCAAGGAGTTCTTAATCAAATCTGCTGGCTTCCATCTTAAGTGTTCAAGAGTGAAGCTACCCAAGAGAATGTCAGTCTTGTTCTTTACAGGAGACTGATCAACTGTTAATAACTTCAATGACCTTGGAGTCAATTGACCTAAACTTTAAGGCAGGCAAAGGAAAATGAATACCAAGTAGTAGATTAAGCATTTTTTTTTTAAATTATGAAACACAAAATATCTTGAAAGAGTTTAAATCTGAAGCAAGTCACACTCACGGCACTGTTCTGGGCTTTCGTCAGAACCATCTTCACAGTCTGGATCCCCATCACACTGCCACCGGTTGGGAACACACTGGCCATTGTTGCACACAAAGTCAGACTCTGCACATGTCTTCTTCACTGCAAAGTTCATTCACAAGTTAAAGTTGAAGCCACTCACCCAAGACCCCGATCCTATCTTAGAGCCCCAATTACATTTTGATATATTTCCTTTAAAAGTTAATCTGAGTTGATGGATGCTCAATTGCCAACATTCAGACAACTTTGGAAGACTCATAATATATTTTTTCAGATGAAGGTGTTCATTTGAGAAACTTGGATGATACCAAATTCAAGGAAAGACAAACTTTGTTCATTGTCTTTCAGGCCAGGGACACCTTACAATGAACTTCCTGCCTGTTTGGAATGCTTAGATTAACTAATATTTGTATTCTCTTCATGAATTTCTTCCAAATCATTTGTGTACTGCATAAGTGTCTTGGTTCAAGCCCACTTTCTTTTGCTATAACGGGATACCTGACACTAGGTAGTTTGTAAAGGAAAGAAATATATTTTGGCTGGAAGGTGGCAGTCCAAGAACATGGCACCAGTATCTGCCCAGCTTCTGGTCAGGGCCTCAGTAGAAACATGGAAGGACAAGTGGATGTATGTGGAAAAGGCAAAATACAAGGGGCACCCTTGTTTGTAACAATCTGCTCTCTCAGTAACTAACCCAGTCCAGGGAGAAAGGCTCTGTTTTCTCTTAATGACCTAAGTCACTTCTTAAATGTCCCACCACATCTCAGCACGATTACACTGGAAATAAAATTTCAGCATGAGTTTCGGAGGAGTTTCACACCACAAATAAGGACAAGAGTCCTTACCAGATACTAGATCTGCCAGGACCTTGACCCTGAGCTTCACAGGCTACACAACTGTGAGAAATATGTTTCTTTTGTCTATGCCACACAGCCTATGGTATTTTTCTTATAGCTAAGACACTGGTCTAGGGCATCTCTTCATAAAACATGTTTTAGTGTGTGGATAGAAGGTGAAGCCCCAGTGTTGAATACTGTCACCCTTTTTGGTATATAGGGGACAAGGAACTCATCCAATAGAAAAGGGAGAAAATTTAAAGGGAACTATGACAAGAGCTATTTAAAATTCAAGGGAGAAGATATTTTCACCTTCCCAAAAGGGGTGGTATCACATCAACCTGCTAAAAGTCATTGAAGCTGCCAGAGCTAATTCCCATAGCTTACTGCTGGTGTCAAAATAGCCCAAGGCAAGGGGTCAGTCCTCTTAATTCTTCCTAGGGCAGGTCCTTCCTCTATGCTTAGGATTATAATGCAGTTCACTGTTCAAGGGGTCACTGTTAATTATGTCAGGAAAATAAGCATGAAAGACTATCCTAAGCAAACCAGGTAGCTTGGTCACCCAAACACAAATGAGCCACAAAGTATGAAACTGTCTTGATAAAGTAGCTAGACAGGATGCCCACAGCTTTTCTTTCTTAGGCTATATTCTTTCCTTGCCTAAGTTCCTATACTTTCTACTTGAGTTTCCTTTTTTTTTGGTGGGGGGGGGGGGTGGGGGGAGGACTACCAGGAATGGAACCTAGAGGTGCTTAACCACTGAGCCACATCCCCAGCCCTTATTTATTTATTTATCTATTTTGAGATAGAGTCTCACTAAGTTGCTTAGGGCCTCATTAAGTTACTAAGGTTGGCTTTGAACTTGCGATTCTCCTGCCTCAGCCTCCTGAGCTGCTGGGATTACAGGTGTATGCCACTACACCTGGCCTGAATTTCCATTTTAAAACATTCTTCTCTAATAAGTATACTATGCTTGTGAATCAACTAAAAGACCACAATTTGCCAAAAGTTGGAAAGGGACCACTTCAAGACAGGGGCTTAAGCAATGTAAAGGTCTCAGTATTTAGGGCTTACCCTGGGGCCACTCTAGTTAAGCCTAAGATATTGTGAAGTGGGGCTATAGTGACTATAGTCAATTTCTAACACTCAAGATGGGTTGATGAATTATAGTAATCCAAAAAGGATTATTCATCTCCTTGAGTTAAGTAGCTATGGAAATAAGAAAGGCCATATTAGCTTAGATTCACACCTATTTCTAAAATCACCTTCACAGAGAAGCCCCAGTGTTAACACATTCAGTGCTCTCTGAGGCCCACGTTCTCTGCAGTTTGGGAAGAACCCAGAGTCAGCAGGGTTAATTGGTATAATTCAACCTATGATATATTTCAGAATTTGCAAAAGAGGCAGTAGGGGAATGGCCATAAAGAGAGGACATGATTTCAAGAAGTAGAAAATGTCATGACAATATGAAAGACTGGCTGTGGAACAAAGTGTCACACAAAGATACATAGGGACGAACAAACTGTTAAAGAGTTCATCTCTCTCCATCTGAGCAAACCCTGGCCAGGGATGTGGAATAAAGAAAAGATATTCAAAGCTGGGCATAGTGGCACATGCATGTGACTCTAGTAACTTAGGAGGCTAAGGTTGGAGGATCCAAGTGTGAGGTCAGTAATAAGACCCTAGTCTCAAAATTTAAAAAAAAAAAATTTAAAAATGAACCTCAGTGACAGAATACCCCCAAGTTCATGCCTAAATGTAATACTAATTTTAAAAAAGGAAAAGAAAAAAGAAGACATTTGAACTGGACCTTGAGATATGGATGGAAATGTCAATGTGCCACCAGGGAGGTGAACCAGCAGTTACGGTACTTAGGGTGTCTCAGTTACTGATTTACCAGCTCAGCCTAACATTTAAAAAAAATGAGTTACTGGGGCCAATAGAAGCACATAACTCATGGAATCTAAACTCAAGTTGACTAAATATGCTAGTTGTCATGCTTGAAAGAAAGAGCTCTGCTGAAATTGTAATCAAGTTCCCTATCAAAAGGTTAGACAGGAGAATCAGGAGGTGGCTTTGGAAATTTTAAGTAATTATGTAGCTTTTTCCTTACATCAGGAAACATTTTAGAATAAGCAATCAGAGCTTCCTGAGTGAAGTTTCCACTTTCTTTCTCTTCTTTACATCTGTGAAACAGCAACAGATTCTGTAATATATTTAAGTTCTCCTACTTCAAATGATCTTGATTCACTGTACTGTTCATCTACCTTCTTCCTTGACCCAAATCCTCCTAGTATGGCTAGTAGAGGGTATTTTAGGAAAAAAACAATAATTATCCTAAGATGGCCCAGGCTGGATTCTACTGAGTCAGATGATAAAAGAAGACTTCTACAACATGAAGAAAATAATTACTTTTTAAGAAAAAGCAATGGGTTTTGCCCAATATACAATTAGAATAAGGGAAGAATTGCTCCTTAGATCAAAAGAACAGTTGAAAAGAATGAGGTCTTTCTCATGAGATATTTGTTGAGAACTGTTTTACCTAGGTAACCTAGAAATAGCATGGAACTTAATGTTTTGTGGAATAGATTAAAATCTTAGTGTTAAATGCAAATGATGGAAAAGTGTAGCACAAGAGAACTATTCTTGGTCATGAGACTGGAGATAATTTTTTTATCCAAGATTGCAGAATGAACTTTCTATGCTTTCAAAAGAGCTGCTAATCTGCACACAGGCATGAAAACACCCATGATATTGCATCAGAAAGAGCAAGCATAAGACAATGTTTATAACATTTTAGTAATGTTGCATGAAGAAGAAGGTAAGAGCATTACAAGATGGCAATTGAAGACCCTTGCTTAGCTTATGTTTTTCTTCTGTGTTTCTGGTGTGCATAATAAACAACTGTATACAGTATCTCTTAAAAGGTAAATGACAATGGTAGTAACCAATATTTGCACACAAAACTGCTTCAAGATTTTTACAACACAAAAGAAAGGGTTCAAAAAGAAAACTTCAGCTATGTACTTTAGGTACCTAAATGTGACCTTGATATGTAGCTCTCAGATGTTCTGTTTGACGTGAAGTCATGTAGACCGCACACACAAGCATTTTTCGCAATGATCTTTGGATACTGATCAATGGTATGATGTTATATCCCCATTCTCTTGGGGAGAGAATGTCTTCCGCCCTGCTTAATGCTTTAGAATCAGCAACTATTGTGGGAACAGGATTAGAAATGAATCCTTATCTGATCTTTCGTCTTTGCTGGCTTGTAGTTTCTATGCCCAGGGTTAATTACCACGCTAAAACTTTGGTGGATTTTTGTAGTGTCCGTGACTTGCTTTCTTTTCTGGGATCAGAGCCGTTTGAGAATTTTTAAAAAGTTACTTCTAAGCAACCTCTGTTTGCCTCTATTTCTGGTCCTCCCTTCCCTTTCCTCAGCTTCCTATGCCCCATATGCCAGATCTAAGATAAACCAGGTCCTGTCATCTGAAAGGGACTCCACTTTATCTTCAACATTCCATACTCAAGTTGATAACCCCGTGTCAAACACTCAATTATGTTCCTGTGGACCAGGAAGTATAGATTCTTCGGACTTGGGTTCAAAGCAATTCTTTTGTGTGGATTTTATTTGCAGAATCTCAACACACTTGTAGAAACTAAGATACCATCATCGCATTTCAGTAACATGCACGAGTCCAAGTGAGGTGACAAATGAGGCGACTGAGCTCTTCACTTACCACAGTTCTTTTCATCACTGCCGTCGACACAGTCTTCATCTCCATCACATTTCCACAGCAGGGTTATACAGCGGCCATTGGTGCACTGGAATTGGGAAGGCTCACATTTGGCTTTTCTGCCTAGAATAAGGAAGAAACATTTAGCAAAGCCAGGGTAGAAAGTTAGAAATACAAGTTACCTAAAATCTAGGAATGGGGACCCTAGAGGGACAGCTTCAGACTCACGGGCCAGCACGGGATGGGCCTTTAAGACAGTGACTGACAATAACTGAATTCTCAGTTGGGCACAGGCTAATACCAATCGCTATATTCCTAACCTTTCTTGCAGGGATATTAAGTTCTGGCTCATGGAATGCCAATAGAAATGGAAGAAATGGAATCAAGTGCTGCATGATGTTTTGGTCAAAATGGAATGCAGATTAGGACAGTGGTCTCAAAAAACTAAACTGAAGTTAAAGAATTCCTATTGCCAGAGAATACATAGTTGAAAAATAAGGGAAAAAAATTAGAAGAAAAAGAACCCCTAAGAAAATTCACAGTGAAGGGCTTAGCAGAACCTCTTGCAGACTTAAACAAGCTTCTTAAAAAGTTTGAAAATAGGGACCCCAATACCTAGAGGTTTTCATTAATAAAGCACAATGCTCTGGCACATTATCTGCTTATAGGCAAATCTATAGTGCAAAAAGGACACAAACCAAGCACACCACCATGGACATATTTCTGAAAAGAGTGACACCGCCTCTAGAAAAGCCCCAGGCATGTCCTTCAGAAGGGATTCCAGAAGAAGGCTCAGAGGAGGTGACAGCTTCATGCATGTTATTGCCCCTGAAGATTTTCCTGTGGGACAAAGTGTGGAGGTAGAAGACAGGGATACTAATGCTCCTGACCCTGTGTAGACTTAGGCTGATGTGTGTATTTGTATCTTAGTGTTTAACAAAAAAGTTTAAAAAGTAAAATTTACAAAAGTTTTTGTACATAGAAAAAATTTTATAGAATAAGAATATAAAGAGAATATTTTTGTACAGTGTGTTTGTGTTCTAAGTATTATTACAAAATAGTCAAAAAGTCTAAAAAGAGTTTAAAGGTTTATAAAGCCAAAAAATTTCAGTAAAGCTTAGAGATACAGCATGGTGATGGGGCACCTGCTATATAGTGTGCAGCCCCTGGGTTTCATCCCCAGCATCAAAACCCAAATAACAACAAACAGTTGCAACAAATTATGAATAATTTATTATTGAAGAAAGAAAAATCTTTTCTTTTTTTTTTTTGAAATTAATGTAGCCTAAGTGCATGGTGTTTACAAAGTCAGCACAGTAATGTCCTGGGCCTTCTCTTCCCTCACCACTCACTCACTGACTCATCTAGAGCAACTTCTAGTCTTGTAAGATCCATTCATAATAAATGCCCTACACAGGTGCACAAGTTTTTATCTTTTATACCATATTTATTTTACTATACCTTTTGTTTTTAGATATACAAACACTTACTATCATGTTACAGTTGCCTACAGTATTCAGTACAGTTCCCTCCTGTACATATTTATAGCCCAAGAACAGCAGGCTACACTGTATTGTTGAGGTGTATAGTAGGCCACAACATCTAGGTTTGTGTAAGTAACTACTCTGATGTCAGCACAGTGATGAAATGGCCTAACATCACAGTTCTCAGATTGTACCTCCATTATTAAGTGATGTATGGCTGCATCCTTAAAAAATTAGGGAATCATTTTCCTTCCCTTTATTCCAGCTTGATTCCTAAAAATTGGACACAGTGGCTGGAATAGTGATTTGGGGTCAAAGGAACCAGATGAAGATAAAAGGAATCTAGTTTGCCAATAGTCCACAAAGGGCACCCCATCCCCCTCTGGACTCATGCTCTCATTTGTTTAAACCATTTGTGTGGCTACAATCCCGCAGCCAAATCCTAATCCTTTAATGACATTTCTTGTCCACATCTATAATATTATTCATAAATGATGTTCCTATCACAAAGTAAAGCAGGTTTAGAAAGGGATCAGCAAGAAGAGGGTAGAAAAAGAGGTTTAAGATATGGTTCCTCATCTTAGAAATTGAGGCCTAATTGGAAAAACACATTTATGAATCAGCTCTAAGACAAAAGAAACAAGGAAGTATAGTTAAGAGGCAAACGGAAATGGTTTCTAATTTAGTGATGATTGAAAAGGAAAGGAAAGGAAAGTTAAGCCACAGATGAGCATTCGGTATCTCTGAGCCCGTTCTCCTTGGCTTAATATTTGGCTATTTAACTCACTGTAGTATGAACTAAGACTTGAAGGAGAACACTCAGTTTTTTGCCTGGCACAGGAGACAGGGGTCTCCTATCATTGACAGCTTGTCCTTCTGGAGGACACTATTGCTTTGAAATAAAAGGCACAGACCTGATTCTTAATGCCAACATGCACAAATATTTGGGAAAGCCAGAGGACTTATGTAGTGCATGTAGATTACTGGGAGAATGGGGTTGGGGGGCGGGGGAGACTCAAGCAGAAAGCCTTCCGATTTCCTGCCACTCTCAGCATCTGCAGCTGGGATGTGCTGGCATAAGAACAGATACTATAGAGACAAGCACAGACTGGAACTCTTGTGTTATGTGCACAATACTCTAGTTGGTCTCCCTAGTATCAACCACCCCCTGATGCTAGGCAGAATTCTATGCTTTCTGGCTAATTCTCAGGGAGATTAAAATTTGGTTCCAGTGAAGATTACCATATGGTTGTGGTTACCTTCAGGTACTAAATACATTGCTTTTAAAACTCTATCTACTATTCTACTCCCAAGAGTCCAGTCAAGCTAGGATCTGGCTGCAAAGCAATATGTTTTAATGGCATTTCCTATCAGCATTTCACAATATTTATTAATTCTATAAATATTTTAATTGAATATAAGATTCTAGGGAGTTATAATGGGAAATAAGAGGAGATAGAGATAGTTATTTAGAAGTACCACCTGTTTGTTTTCTACCACTAAGCCAGTGTGAGGTACCTGGCTGCCTCCTCCTCTTGTCCCCATTAACCATGTATGCTTAGAATATTATTAATGTGTGGATTCATGTTCCAGGGGCCACTTGCAATAGTTCAGTGTCCTTAGGACCTGTGGGAGTAGTAAGAGTCTACTTTGAGTACTTTATTTGAAAAAGTAGTAAAATAACTATTTGTAGGCAGAGAACATAGAGAACTGCTGTTAGAATACAGTGAAGATTGAAAGGCTTTGAATTTTTTAAGTGTTTTAGTTTACCAAAGGTCAAGTCAAAATGAGACAAAAGCACTGACATTGACACAGTCAGAATGATAAACATATAATCAGACTTGGATAAAGCTTAACAGTAGATGTCAAAAGATGATTTTCCACTGTCAAATGATGTACCACTTCCAGGTCCCAAGTGAGGTACTTGGAAGATAACCTTCTTAAAAATTAGTTTTTAAGCTACAGATCTTGCAGGTGCTCAAGCTGACCTCAGATTAAATGCCAGCATACAATATTCTATGACCTTGAAGAGGTGAATTTAGTTGTAATACAAAACTACCAAGTATAATAAGTTATATTAGAATCCCAGCAATTCTGCCTCAGGAATGTATATTAAGCAAGCTCTTAACAGACATAGGATTTTCTTAGTGTTCATTCCAATGTCCTAAGACAATAAGGAGTTTAATTTCTGCCTTTCTTATCCCACATGTCGACTGCATCCAACTGCTGTCTGCCTGTCATAAAGCTGCATTTCACCATTACACAAACATGGCATTCCATTTGGAAGGAGGGACAACTGGAATTAGGAGTTCAATGTACTACCAATACATCCCCGCTTGTCTAAAAGAGGGGAGAGATGAGAGTGGGAGCAGGCAGGGTAGCTGGCTTTATAAAGGATGCTTTAAAGGGGGCAAATAAAGGGGCTAGGGCTGAGGCTGGGGCTCAATGATAGAGCCTTCACCTAGCATGTGTGAGGCCCTGGTTCAATCCTAGAACCACATAAAAATAAATAAATAAAATAAAGGTACTGTGCCCAACTACAACTAAAAAATATTTTTTTTTAAAAAGAGGGCAAATAAAGACCTTAAGCTTCATGGACATCCCTATCTGTTTCCTACCTTTCTAAGCAATTTGTTTTGAGAGACTCTCATAGGCAGAAAGTTCCCTCCAGTTCCATTTAATTCCCTGCTTCATGAAGAGCAGGAAGAGCTCAAATGCTATATTGAATACTAAGATAACAGCCACTTGATGAGAATACTGTGGGTCTTCCCTCCAAGTTCCCCAAAGAGTCTACCTTTCCATCTTCAGTGTTCAACTGGGACTGCTACTGCACAAAGAGGTAGAATTTAAAGCACCAAATGAGTTAAGAAGCTTTTGGTTTCCAAAGCTCTGGGGATTACAGGATTGTAGACTTGTAGTCTGTTTCCATCCATGACAGTTAAATCTCAAGTTCAGTATTATATTTTCATAAAGGAAACAGGCTGAACTTGAAATCATCAACACTCAAGGTTCTTTTTAATTCTCAGGTTAAGCTAAAGCCTAATGATACCTGAAAGAATTACCTTGGAAGTCAAAGTACTAGGTATTCTACAGTCCAGGATCTTTCTGCTCAGAAATATGAAAAGTTGGAGTAAAATAAAATTCTCAGCGGTTCCTTATAGTCATAGTGTTTCACAGGAATTGCCTTAGGGCTTCAGGGGTATTGAAGTGAGGAGGAAGGTCTTGGAGGAGGAATCCCCAGTTGTTTCACCCAGGAAGATTTTATTTTCAATACTAGAGTTTTGTGTGAGATAATTTGAAAACGGTCCTCTTACTTTAAGAAATTGCACTGTCTAGGTTTCCTTCTAGTTCTAATACTTAGTAGAATGAATATTGTGTCCCATTGGGTGAGAGGCCTTTGAGTCATTTGTACCTACTCACTGATGTGTCTATTTAAATTAGCAGTGAGTGAATTCCCCAAGAATCACTTGCTTTCACTGTCACTCATATCTATGGAATCAGACTACACAAACTTCCTTCAAGGCAACAGTGTCCCATGAGAATTGCTACCTAAACAGTTTAAACCTGCCCAGACGTGATGGCAACTCGCTTGGCTCCAAAAGATTGAGGATTTTTAATACACATAGAAGTCAGCCTGCT